CCCCCCCCCCCCGGCCCGCCTTTTGCTCTGTGTAGACGACTCAGCTAGATGTCAGCTTTACTTACCTTGCAGATGACAAGGCGGTGTATAGGACGATCGCCAACAGATCTGACCAGGACCAGCTACAACCAGCTCAATGGGTTAGCTGAGTTGAGATGAGTTGGGACATGGAATTTCATCCTACCAATTTCCAGACACTGTCAGTCTCTAGAAGTTGTAAGCCTCAACTTCACCTTTCCAAACTGCACGGCCATAGAAGTTGTAAGCCTCAACTTCACTTTTCCAAACTGCACGGCCATATACTTGAGCCAGTCTCCTCCGTTAGGTACCATTCAAAGAGAGGTCCGCTGGGACGAGGATATTAACAATGTGTGCAACCAGGCAAACAAGACCCTGGGGTTCTTAAGGCGTAATGTAAAGATCGGCAACTCCTGTGTTAAGGAAAGAGCCAATAAAGCCTTTGTCCGTCCAGTTTTAGATTATGCATCTTCAGTCTGGTACCGCATGTTAGATAGAACGGAACCCTGGTGACAATTACAAGACCGATGGGTATAACGGACGAGGCTAAAAAGACCCCCCCCCCCCATGACCTTTTTTTTATGGATGCGGTCAACGATTTGGAGAAAAACCTGGCCATAGCCAAGATCAGGGGGAAATGAGGCTTTTGTCCGTCCAGTTTTAGATTATGCATCTTCAGGCTGGTACCGCATGGTAGATAGAACGGAACCCTGGTGAAAATTACAAGACCGATGGGTATAACGGACGAGGCTAAAAAGACCCCCCCCCCCCCATGACCTTTTTTTTATGGATGCGGTCAACGATTTGGAGAAAAACCTGGCCATAGCCAAGATCAGGGGGAAATGAGGCCAACGGCCTGCCTGAAAGCTTTAATCTTTATGAGGTTATGAAGATGTCACTAGCAAATCCAGTTGTGAAAAAAGGCAGACCCTCCAGATTTTCAGGAGGAAGAAGCTGTGATGAGGATAGCAGCCTTCTCAGACCAGCTGGTTAAAGCCTTTACTGACACATGGCTCATGCTTTGCAAGAGACAACCGAACTGAATATGGTGCACTCATAGAATACATGAAGAGGGGGAGTACCTGCAATGCAACAGAGGAGATTGTCGTCTTCCCAAACCTGCAGTTTTCTCTTGAATCTATGGGAATGAGCTTGATGGATTCAACAACGTTCAACATCATTCTGGAAACAGTAGACGTCATCCAAGCACACGACGGCGTGGTCATTCTCCAATGGGTTCTTTGTCACGTTGATGGGACACACAATGAGAGAGCAGATACCCTTGTGTGAGATGGTGCAGTACAGCCGCAACCCAAACGGACTCAACTAGGAGTCAAAGCTTGACTCAACTTTGAGTCAAATCTTGGCTCAACTGGTAGTCAAAGTTTGGCTCAACTGGGAGTCAAAGCTCAAGTGGCAGTCAAAGCTTGGCTGAAAGACCACTTTCGAGAAGAGTGACTCAATGGCTGGGCGGTAGGGGGCACGGCTCGAAAGCTCTACCGAAACATGCCGCGATTGAGTAAGAGCGACCCCTCGTGGAAACTAGCCCGAAGTGAATAAGCCTCAATACGCGGATGCGAACCGAGCACTGTCCGACACGCAGCTACCTACATAGACTTGACTCACGTCTGGATCCTAACTGCTGACTCTGTAACCAGTCCGCTGAAACAGTAGAAGACCTAATAGTAGAATGCCCCGATACCGAAGGTGGTTTTGAAAGGTCGAGACGGGAAACCCGTGTTAATCGTTTAATATAGAGCGACGCCCACTTGAGGAGGATGGCCTGTGAAGTGCCAGCCAAGGTTATTAGACTTTGGGCTCAACCTGAAAAGAGAATGGATCATCTCAATCGCTTGATAAGTTTTATCACTTTTAAAATGAAGTATTTAATTATACCAATGACCAATATGTGGTCACTGTAGCTTTTATTGACTTTATTTTTAAAATGTGGGTGTTACTTATTTTAATGGGAAGTAAAAATACTAAAAACGTCTTTATTTTAAGTAGAAGACTGCCTGTTACTGTTTGAACATGTATTTCAATAGCTTCATTGTTTGGATAGCTGTGCCATTATTTGTAATTTGGGTATCTGTTTCATCCTACTTCGCCTCATCCCTCATTTGGATGCTTTTGTTTGATGTATTGGAAATATTGAGCCTGAGTGAAGGTAACTAGATAGACAGCTCAAATGAATTTAAAAGCATATTGATTTAGGCCTACTTAAGATGAAACTAAAATTCTGGAATCAACTATATCATTTTAGATTCATTTTCTTTATTGATTTGATTCCAGAAAATTGCAATTTTTGAAGCGATTAAATTGTTTATTAAATTTTCAGCATCGCGTCGTCGCGATGAACTACAGCTTTACAGTTGGAATTCTTCGACGCGGTCTTCAAACTCGAGATGTTTACACAATAATTTATTTTGAATATGTTTTCCACACAAAAATAATCTCCAAGTCAAAAGCTTTTATTCAATACACAAATAACTGAGAAAACGGAATGAGTTTACTGAAGTGTTTGACATGACTACCACTTACTGACACAGCAGCCGACCGCGTCTATGATGACGTCTGTTTGCAATATTCAAGATGGGGGATTTTCTTTTTTCTTTCCCTGTGGAATAAGATAACGGGGTCAGTACCGTCATGTGAATGTCCTATTATGTGTAATTTAAGCTAATATGCATACTGCTCAGAGCCGTCACTTGACTTTTGGGGCCACCTGCCCCTTCTCTGTATTGTTCGCACTGTATTCGGAGTTGATAATATGATTTTTCTTCCATCACAACTTTGAGAGCCTTAAATATCATAGGCCCATTACAAATGAAGGTTTTGCTAGCCCACAAGACGACCCTTGATCTGAGTACCCACAAGACAGCCCTTGATCTGAGTGCCCACAAGACAGCCCTTGATCTGAGTACCCACAAGACAGCCCTTGATCTGAGTGCCCACAAGACAGCCCTTGATCTGAGTGCCCACAAGACGACCCTTGATCTGAGTGCCCACAAGACAGCCCTTGATCTGAGTGCCCATAAAACAACCCTTGATCTGAGTGCCCACAAGACAGTCCTTGATCTGAGTGCCAACAAGACAGTCTTTGACCTGAGTACCCACAAGACAGCCCTTGATCTGAGGGCCCACAAGACAGCCCTTGATCCGAGTGGCAGCCGCACTTGACTATATTAGAACATGAAGCTAGAATCGGAACAAAACTTGTCAACCTTTTCTTTCTCACAGACGTGGGGAAGCAATTTAAATATAGGGACCTAAACTGATTTTATTTATTTTTTTTTAAAATATGTGATATTGAAAAACATTAAACGGAATTATACAGTGAGGCTACTTTAAGCATAGTTGTAATGATAAGCTAAGAAAATTCTAAAGCAGTGTTCCCAAAATGAGTGGACTTAAAAATGTACCTGAAATGTTTTAGGGATTCCAAATACAAAGAAAAATTGTGTCCATGGTAAAAGAAATAGTTTTGTTGTTTTTCTCTTCTGAAAAAAAAGAAGGATCATTTAATTAATTTGAGCCGGTTGTATTGTTAAATTATGGACACGGCAAACATCTTAACACAAATAAGAATTACACTAAATATTGACAGGTAATGATGTGTGGTCAATAGATCCTTTCAAAGGCCTGGTGAAACTTGCTCACACCCATTACAGTAACATAATGCCATGTGTCAATGGTCCTTTTTTAAATTTTAAAAATAATATTGTATTCCATTATGCATCAAAGCAATTTTTTTTTCTACCTTGGTTGGCATGTTCAGTGTGTGTGTATGTGTGTTTGTGTGTGTGTGTGTGTGTGTGTGTGTTAGAAGAAAACAAAAGGGGGGGGGGGGGGGGAGACTTTTTT